AGAGGACGGCTATACTCCTCTTCCAGAAGATACCCCACCAGCACGCGAACAGACCCGATCAGGGACGTCCGGTTGGACAACACGGAAGGGTCGAGGGGAGTGCACTGGACGACATCGCCGCTCTCGCCGACGGTTAGCACTTGATTCAAAGAGGAATCCGACAGCACCATTTTAAGAAGAGCAAGAAACCCCAAATTGGTCCACAGGGATACAAGAAACAGGGATGAGCCCTTTCCGTCGTCGCCTAATGTGTCAATACTTTTGGCGTCGCGCAAGTCACGCCACTCCTCCCTCGCTCTCTCGTTCAGGCTGCCCACTGACCCCTGAACACCACTCAGCCGCATCAGTGCATGTGTCTTAAGGGCCGCGGATGCCTTCGCAGGAGACCGCAGGCACTCCATAATAAGCGAGTGGTACCCGGGTTCGCCGTCTTCGCCATTTACCTCTGCGGGGCAGTTGGTTAGAAGTGCCGTTATGGCAAGCAAATCGCTCATCACGAGGTGGTGTCCCACTTTAACCTGCTCTAATAGCAAAATGATTCTGTCGTGAATGAGGCGTGGATACTGCTGTCCCTCCATGAGCCAACTACCGTGTGTGACGGTGTCAGCTTTTGGAGTGCCATTTTGTAGCATTTCAAACATAGTGCTGTCCTCCTTTCCTTCCGTATCAAAACACGGTAAAGCGCACACTGTGTTCATTACGGATGTACAGAGCGGGCATCTGAACTCACTGGCAGCTCGGGAGGCAAGGTGCTGATGGAACCTCTGTATGCATTGATAGTGGGCTGCGTGGCCGCATAGCGAAAAATGGTGTGTCACTGCTGACCCATCCACAAATCCTAACTGAGACAGCACCAACGACTCGGACCGCGAGGCGAACAGCAGCAGAGGCTCCTCCGACTCTAAAAGGCAAATGCAGCAGTTGGACTCGCTCACATTAGAGAGCATCCGCGTAAACAATAAGGTGTTGATATTGTCTTGTCCGGCACGCGCCGTGGAATCCGCTTTTCCCAGGGTGGCGTCTTCGCCTTCCTCCTCGGTCTCATAACGTTTTCTCAGCCTTCGCATCATTTCCCTTCTGTTTAGCTTTAATCCTCTGCAATCGCGCTTCTTCCTCGTTAGGACCTGCCGCGGTTTGGTCTCCCTCACTGCAGTCCTCCTCAAAGTCCGCCAAAGAGGTTTGAGTCAAAATAAACTCAATCATGCGCACATAGCTAAACTTATCCAGGGATGGATTACTTTTGTAGTAGAGCCGTAGCCCGGCAAGCACTTCCGCCGTACTACTCGCCGACTCGGTTATGTTTCGCACAAGTCGTTCTTTGATGGAACTGGCGTGCCGCAATTCGGGCAGAGGGCAGTACCCCGACACCGACTCCTCTGTAAAGGCGGAGCGGTGAATCTCCTTCCCAGCGAGGTAGTCCTCCACCACCTTCCAGTCACCAATAGGCCCTCCCTCAGTCCGGCACTGAGCGTGGTACACCTCCAACGAGTCTTGTACGGCGAGGTACAGCACAGTGATAGCGTGGAGTACGGTGGCAGGGTCCACCGCACTTGTGGGCGCATCCTCAGATCGGTCTCCCCTCACCTCCAAATACTTCTGATGGAGTAGGTGAACCGCCGGGATAACCACGGCATCGGTGTGTAGCAGCAGGCGCAGCGGCCGGAGAGACTCCGCAGGGACGTGTGATGCGTTGAATTGGGGAGGCGGAAGGCAGTACGGGGTAGAGTTTGGTTTTGTTGGCTCCGCTCGGCGGCGGACCAAGTTGTACCGCTCGTGTAAGGTATCCAAGTCTAATTCATAGGGCGAGGCACTGTACAGATTCACGTATTTGACCCACGTGGTGTCGTCCTTTATGAGGTAACACTTGGTATCCTTCACCTCCCGCGGGACGGCAATCTCACCCAATACTTCCTGGATAATGGACGACCAGTCCACGTTAAGAAACCGGTCCATACCCTCTTTCAGAAGCAACACGCACATCTGTCTCAGATTTATCTCCAGCATCTGAGAGAGTGTCATATCTTCTGCCGCAATGTACATGGCGATGCGGTGCGTGATGAACTCTTTTTCATAATCTGGCACAGTTTTCAGGTCGGAAACACTCAGCTGCATGGTGAGAATGAGCTTTAGGAACGCACTGGGGGCAGTGTGCTCCTTTTTTCGAGCATACGAAAACCGTTGCCAAATTCGGAGCGTGAAGTCACTGGGGTACTGTTCAGCGCATAAAACTTGAAGAAGAAGGACGTAATTTCTGGGGAACACGTTAGCCGTTGAAACGCAAAATGAGTGGCCGTGGTAATCAAAATTGTACTCATTCTGCTGCCATATGCCCTCCTCGTGTTGGCACAATAGGACAAACGGCATGACGAGAGAGTCCAGAAGACCCTGTTCATAAAAGTCAGTACGCGTCACTGACGCCCTCGTCAGCAGCTTCGACAACACAGCGTTGATTGGCGGGGTGCCGCGGGAGGAGGCCGCAGGAGAGTTCTGCAGCATTACCCAAATCCGCAGCAGGCGAGCGAGACTGACCACCACCAAGTTGAACAAGGAAACCGCATGCGAAAAGGGGGCAAGCAGATCGAATGCCATCACACTCGCGCACTGCTCCTCACTGAGGGACGAGAGCACAACGGTGTCGTTCTCCTTCCTAAAATCCTTTTCCTGGACGTCAAGGAACGATAGGACGGAGCGCATGATGACGTCTCCCACCGTCAGAATGTACTCCAACTGCACAGACCCTTCCGGAATCGTCTTGTCCGCCAGTTGTTGCTCGTCGGGGAGCAGGATGGAACGGGTGACTTTGGTGTGCTTTATCATTTCAAAAAAGTACGGAACCACGCCGGAGTTGGTTGCATCACTCACATCAAAAAAATTCGAAGTCGGGGAAAGCCCGTCGATTTGTCGAAGCTCCTCGATGAGCAAAGGGTCGGCGCCGAAACGCTCCACAATGTCAGTGTGGCAGCCGCAGTGGGCGATGAACTGTCCGATATCATAGATTTGCTTAAACAGCAATTGAAATCCTTGCACGCTGCCGGACGACAGAAAAAAGGAGCTGCTCTGTATGTTAAAAAAATTTCTCGCATTCTCCCGAAAACGATGGTAGTTGCTGACAGCTAGTTCTTCTAGTGTCATCAAGTACGCACGAAATGCGCAGCCGGAAAGAATCCCCGCCAGAGCTGCTTCTGGACCGCTCTGAATGGTGGACACAAAATAGGATGAAGTTTTTACGGACACGCTGGTGTTTTGGTGAATAGGAAAAAGATAGTCGCTGCCATGAAGCGGCGGCAGGCTTTCAGATCGCTGTTCACACAAATAAAGTAGGATGGATCGGATCGCACGATGCGACATCGTTTCATGTTTCCACTCGGGGTGATCAGGGAAATCCATGAGACCGTTGGGGTGGGCAGAGAGGCGGGCGACAGTTTCTCGGTTGAGACAAATAAGTGAGATGTCACTCAAAAATGCGCTTAGTTTAAAATATTTGGAAGACAGCTCCAAGCACAGAATGCGGAAAGAAGGCGCGTAGAAAAAGTGAAACGTCAAGGCCAACGCCCATGGTGAAAACACGGCCTCGTTTATCGAGCACAAGATGCAAAAAGGCTCAAGGCATGCCACAATGCGATGCTCCAAACAAAAATCCGCCAGTGGATTGACCTTCGCACCGGTTTCAAGGGGGAACAACCGAGAACCGAAGCATCTGCCAACGCAGTCACGAAACCGTCTAGACGATGCCGACATCAAAATAGTATGAAACGTTTTGCAGTAGTCCGGCAACCTGTCCATCGCACCTTCACCCTCCAGCGACTTTTGATCTGTCCGAATAAGATTTAGAATCTCCAGCGAAAGCAGGCGCGTGATAAAATTCAACATTAGCTCCTGCCACCCAATCTCACCGGAGTCTTCCTCCGTCATTTCCTCGATGGTTTTGCCAGCGCCGGTATGCTTCGTACAGAAGGACTCCTTGCTCCATGCGGAAACATCGCCGCAGTCACAATAGCCATTATTGTCGCCACAAAACGTAAAAAAGTAGTTGTGGTGACGGCACGGGGAGTGAAAAAAGCATTCTGGGCACAGGACGCTACCGGTAGAGAGACCGCACTTTTCGCAGCGAAAGTAAGGGGAGTAGCGAAATACTTCTCTTCCGCAACTGGAAAACAACGAGGAGTCTTCAGGGGCACTAGTGTCGACTAACAAGCCAGTCTCTTGCGTCGCATTTGCCTCGATCACGTAGAACACAAAGTCCACCGCCCGGGGGGTGTACCCCTTTTCCTCGGGGACGCAAGGTAAGGTGTTTAGGTAGGTCTCATGCTCCTTGTCAAGAGCCTTTTTCAATAATTCCGTATTTTTGCGAAGGTGGTCAGGGGACGCATAGGAATCTTTGAACGACATGGGGAGACAAATACGTGCAAGCGTTATCAATAAGGGAGGGAAATTCCGCTTCGGTGTAAACAAGTAAAACAAAAAGAGGGAAAAAGGGCAGCGTGGCAAATGATCGATAGGAGACGGAAATCCAGTCTCGAATGAAGGAATGGTAAAAAAAAAAAAAGAGAGAGAGAGAGCACTGCGGGTGTTGGTGCTGTAGCGGACCCGGTGGTGGCATGGAGCAGAAGTGTTGAGGGCTTTACGCAGAAGTGGGGTAGTCCACCACGGACACCTCGTCGCGCCTGATTATGGCTAGCCTGTCGGCCCCCGCACGGGAAACATCGTACACCCTTCCCTGTTTAGGGCGGTCCCAAGACATGTGTGTGGTACTACCGTCTCGGACTTGATGCAAGTCGCCGTCGTAATCCACAATAAAGGCAGTTTTGTCAGCGGAGGGTAGGATCCTCCTAAAGACGCTGTGCTCGTTAGCTTTCTGCACAAGCCTTGTGTGAAATGCAAGTGTGCCCCCGTTGTGGTCCCCGATGAAGCCCAGCAGGCCAGCGTCACTGTCGCACTCTTTCGAAAGTACGTCGTACCCTGCTATTTCGGACACCGCCACCACGCCCTGTGTGGAGAGTGTAAAAAGAGTAGAACCGCACCCACTCCACCGAATGTCCTCGACGGAGCCGACCTCTGTAAGGCCAGTGGCGTTGTAGAACTGGCCGAACTTCTTTGCCATGTGTGACACCTCCCCATCCGTCTTCTTGATGTAAGTCGAGTAAAGGGTAACACCCCCGCTGGCGCAGTAAGCGATCACGGTGCTGTCCACTGGGTGCGCCGCGACTGTAGGACCGGGTGGGGAGTGAGGGATCTCTCCATCTTGGCTTTCCTTTCCGCTCAGGGTGAGTAGCCTCCCGATCCACCAATCCTCCTCCTCTTCGCACCGGCAGGCAATCAAGCCGGTGGTGGTAGGGTTGTGAAAATTCACGTATAGCTTTCCGCTGTTGCAAGAAAAAAAAACAGTATCTCGAGCAAAAAGGGACGATGAGAGATCCAGAAAGGAGTCGCACAGCACTCGTTGCGGACGATAGTGTTCTCCGTGCGAAGACCACACCACTACCAGCATTGACCAATCGCAGGAGGCTAATCGATTGGCGCGCTCGTCGGGAGATGCGCAAATTTTCGGCGAAAAACTCAACGCTATAATTTTTTCCTTGTGTCCATTCAGCGCACTTCGAGGTGACCAGGAAACACTGTCAGGCAAGCACTCAAAAATTTCAATGCAATTACCGTTGCTCAAGGCGATAAGAGGCTGGTCGGGAGCACATGTGGCTACTTCTATTGGTTTGGTGAAGCTAATGGTCATTAGGAAAACCTGGGCGGCAATGAAATGTAGGCAAAAGAAAGGCAACAGCTGCCGATAATACACCCGCACCCGAAGAACGATATGGCAAATGACCAGGGAAAAAATGGTATAATGGGGGGAGGTATAAACCCCCGTTTGGCGGTATTGGATAAATGTATAGAAGGGAAGAAAGGCAAGAAAAAAAAAAAAAAGAATGCAAGACGCGTGCGTCAACACAAAACGACGGAAGGGGAAAGTGACCCTTCCAAAGGAGTACCCCTTATATCCAATGTTTTTAGCGAAGGGGCGCGACACACATCAGACGCGCTGCTCAATTGGGCGCAATCGCGGGCACGCACCACCTCCAACGAGGGGCAACTGCGTAGTCCGTCCAAATTCGTTATGGCAGATCGCTCCGCACGAATCTCCTTCAGAGACTTGGACCCCTCGATGCCAGTCAAAGACGTTAGCTCTGGGCATTCGCTAACGATCAGCAGCTCCAGGGATGTACAGCTATTCAAGCCGTCCAAATTGGTGATAAGGGTGGCTTCCGCATTGACTTTCTTCAACCGCCGCAAAGCAGCAAGGTCCGCCAAAGAAACTATGCGCGAGCAATAGCTCACATCAATCGATTCCAGGTACTCGCACGTGGAAAGTTCGCTTAACGACTGAAGCAAAGAACCGCACGCGTTGAAATCCTTCACTTTCGGGGATCTAGCCAATCCTGCGCAGCTCGTCAAATCAACACAGCCGCCCACATCCACCTGTTCCAGCAGAGGGCAGCTCGACAGCCCATCCAAATGAGTGATGGAAGTACCACCAGCGTATAGATTCACCAACGACGGCATACCACAGAGACCGTAGAGCGACAGCAACTCTCCACAATTGAAAACATCAACAGTCTCCAAGGAGGGGCAGGTTCGCAACGCGGAGAGATCTCTTACGTCGGAGTGATACAAGTTCAGATCCTTCAGGCATGGATTGTCAGCGAGCGCAGAAATACACCGGAGTTCTGCGCAACAAAAAAGATCTAGTATTCTTAGCTCCAGACACCCCTCTAATCCGCTTAGGGTTGTGACAGGCACGCACCGCGCGCTGAGTTCGGTGAGGGAGCGCAGGACAGACAGTCCTTCAAAGGACTCTAATTTTTCGCAAGAATCCACGCACAATTTTTGAATGGAAGGGTTCATATTCGCTACGGTTTTGATGCTAGTCGACTCCGCCCGTAAAACCCTGAGGTATGAAATTCTCTCAAGAGCTGAAAGGTCTTTCAGGTCGGAGCAATCTCCCACATCCACAACTTCCAAATTTGAACAACACTCGAACCCGTTGAGGTCTATTAGCGACGAGCAGCCTCGCATAAGAAGTTGCTTCAAGGAATTGGGACGACATGTCGCATCCAGACAGAGAGATTTGACCTCGCGACAGGAAAAGGACGTCAATCGTGTGCACGCTCCCAGGCCCTCCAGGTTCGCCTCCTCTGGCCCGATAACGTCGATTGACGACACGTGCGGAGACAGAGCCGAAGGGATTGTGACTGTGGGAATACCTTTCAAGGACAAAGCGATGGAGCACTCGAGGGGGATCGTCCGGAAAAGAGACACCGCCTCAGACAACTTCCCCAGGTTTTCTGTTATGGCGTCAGGAAGCGTAAAACTTGCGCGAACCAAAAAACGGGTATGAGGCCACCTCTTCTGCCACCACAAGAGAACAAATAACCGGTCGACCGGATCAACTTCCGGGGCGTCGTCGGAGACGGATGTCACACGCTCCAACGAGTCAAATGACGCGCCGGAATGGGAGGAAAAAGATATTCCTAGGGATGCTGCCGTATATTCGCACACCGCGCGGTTAGCTGAGGACGTGGCAGCCAACGCCAGAGGCGGATGTTGAAAATAAGCCGTGTAGGACTGTTGATTCGCCAAATAGAGCATATTCGCTGTAATAAAGGGTTGGACTTGCCGCTTAAATGGGAGAGAAAAAAAATATAGAAAATGTACATTTATTTGGCAAATTGGAGTATGAAAAGATCTAGCTTACTGCTACTGTTGTAATTATATGTTGTGTATGTAATTATCAGGAATTGCATTGTTTATTTGTTTATTCTAAACTAACCAATTTCGGTGGGTGTATCGGGATTACTTTAATTTCGGTGAGTTTAAAAAGTGAGCGGCCAACACGCGGCACATACCCAATGTTAATCCTTTCACGTAGCCCAAGTGCAAAAATTCGTTCGGGCCGTGAGCATTACTCTTTGGTCCCAAGACGCCAGTAACGAGGAATTGAGCCGATGGGTACATCTTTTGCAGCATGGAAATAAAAGGAATAGCCCCTCCCATACCTTGGCATGCGAATGGCTTCCCGTAGGACATTTGGCTTGCATCGTTAAGCGCGGACTCTAACCAGGGGTGCAACTTATTCATCGCGCAGCCGTCTCCGGGAGCCTCTGGTTCGAACCACACCTTGGCACCGTAAGGCGGATTTTGCGTCAAAACTTTTTCCAGGGCTTGTGTTGCTTTTGTCGCATCCACGAGGGGAGGAAGACGCAAAGACAATTTTGCCGACGACACGGACCGAATCACGTTGCCCGCCACCTTGGGATCAGGCAAATCAGCCCCTGTCACAGTCAAGTTTGGTTTCCAGAAATTATTTAACGCAAGTTCGTCATTTTTTTCAGTGGTGCAGTGAACGCCTGGGAATAGCGCGAATTGCTCCTTAAAAGGGACAGAATTCATCGCGGACAACGATTTCTTGACATCCTCCGGTATTTCGCAGTGAGCTTCCGGTAGGAGAACCTCGCCAGTTTTGGCGTCTTCGACGCGGTCGAGGAGGGTACGAATAATTCGAAAAGTGTCAGGGACAACGCCACCAGCAACCCCGCTGTGCATGCTTTCCGTTAGAGTTTGAACGTTCAGGATACCGCCGGTGACGCCACGCAAAGAGGTCGTCAGCCATATCTGATCATAATTAAGGCAGCCGCTGTCCAGGCATATCATCAAGTCCACATCCCCGATCTTATCTTTGAACATGTCCATGTAATACGGTAAATCAAAGCTTCCAGACTCCTCACAAGACTCAATAATTACGTTCACTTTGCCATGGGGAACGCTATTCTTCTGGAGCGCGTAAATTGACTGAAGGGCAGTGAAAACAGCGTAGCCGTCATCGGACGCCCCTCTCCCATATAATTTCCCATCTACTACGGCAGGTTTGTACGGATCTAGGCCATCACCCCAGGGGTACAAGGGTGGTTGCTTGTCCATATGGCCATACATTAAAACGCTGTTCCTCATTGCCTCCGTTCCGGCAATTTCAACCATAAGAAACGGCGTCCTTTCGCCGTCGTCAATATACTCCAGCGAAACGCCATTTAACCCTAAGGACTTGACCCAATCTATCAGTATCGTGAACGCCTTTTGCGTTAGCCCGTTACTTTTCCATTCGGGGTCAAAATCGGGGCTTTGGTTGGGGACCTCGATGTATTTGCTCAATGCAGGCACGATCGACGTATCCCACTCATTAGACACGTCTTCCTTTATTTTGGCCCACAATTCCTCGGAGCTCATAAAAGCTTACTTTAAAAAAAAAAACTTAAACTGAGCACAAAGGCGCAGGAACGAGAGGAGAGATGCAGAATGAATTCAACTTTTTTTCTAAATTCTTTCCACAGACACTTTTCCTCTCGACTAAATGACCTGATTTTTCAGATTCACATTCGCTGAATATCTCAAGAATTTCGCCAAGCACTTTTTTTTTTTTTTTTTCTTGGCGAAATGAGTGATTTTAACGGGCTCCACATTTTCTGCCAAAATCCCGGGCGGGGGGCCGGATTGCTTTGGAAAGGACCGACATATTTCCGGTGAGAGGGTAAAAATTTGGCGGTTCGGCTCCCCCCGAGGGACCCTCGTGCTGCCGCGGGCCCAGCGGCGTCGCCCGCCTGCCCGCCCCAGCAAAGCCGGCCAAACGCGCCCGGGAAACAAAAACCCAAAAGAAACCAGCCCCCCTCCCCCAACCCCCTTAGAAAAATAGCAAGGCCAATGAAGACCGAATGCGACCGGCTGGTCGAGCAGCTCTCCGCATGCGGCGAGGCGGAGCGTGGCGCCCCGCTCGGACAGCTCCGGAAAAAGCCCCTTTTGGAAATATGCGGAAGCCTCGGGCCGAGGCTATGCAGCGCCGAAACCGTCAACGGGGCGCTCCTCTCGCTAGCCGAATGTTCGATTGGGAGGGAAACAATCACGCACCAGGAGGTTGAAGTGGTCCTCTCGTTTTTTTTAGATAAAATAAATACAAAGAAAACCTTCGAAACATCGTTGTACTGTTTGGACCTAGTAATCCGCGACTTTTCGGAAAGGAGTCCGTGCAGCCTGGAAATGTCGTCGCGCCTTTTTT